TGTTTCTCTTAACAAATATGAGTAATTTGAACTGAACAATGGTTGTTATTTTGGCTGCCCACCTAGTTGCTACTCCTGCCTTTTTTATTATTATTATTATTATTTTTTGAGGTGGAGTCTTGCTCTGACACCGAGGCTGAAGTGCTCGGCTTGGCTCACTGTGACCTCAGCCTCCTGAGTAGCTGGGATTATAGGTGCCCACCACCAGGCCTGGCTAATTTTTGTATTTTTAGTAGAGATGGGGCTTCACCTTGTTGGCCAGGCTAGTCTGGAACTCCTGACCTCAAGTGATTCACCCACCTCAGCCTCCCAAAGTTCTGGGATTACAGGCGTGGGCCACCGTGCCTAGCCCCTGATTTTTTCTTTGCTAATAGATCCCTGACATATGTATTTCCAGCCAAGGGGCTGAATTAGGATAACTCACTCACCTTTACCAATGATTGGTTTAGGGTTTAATTTATGACCTATTTCTGGCCAATGAAATATTAGGATAAGTCAGCTGCTGGCTTTTAAAAAGGGTTTTCTTCCTATCAGGGAAGAGGCATATCCTTTGCCATAATTCTCTCTCTCCTTATTTTGGAAATGATGCTTTGGAGGTGATGCTCAGAGCTGTGGTATCCATCCTGTGGTCATGAGGAGCAATATTGAAAGTACTCTGAGATTGGCAGAATGCAAAGAACCGAAAGGGCCTAGGTGCCTGACAAAATCAGTGAGCTGCAAAGCCAGTCTTGGGACTGACAGCCTTTAGATGTCCCATTAAGTAATAAATGACCACATGGTTTAAGCCACTGTTAGCTGGATTTTCTGCTACTTGCAGCCAAAAGCATTCTTAATTAATAAGCTACTTCTCATTCTTGACATTTTCCCTTTACGCTTTTGTTATTTTTAAAATTTTTCAAATTATTTTTTAATAAAAGAAATCTCTACTTGGGGCTTATTTTTATCTTTCTATTTATAATAGATTTTCCTTCATTTTCTTATCATGCTATCTGGACTCCCCTTGACTCCTTATCTCAAGGATAAGAGCTAACTTAGGCCTTCTGTATTCAAGAGTTGTGTTATATATGCTTTTCTGTTGTCTGAGATGGTGGCAAAAATGGGACTGAGTGAGATCTGGGAGAAAGTGTGGAACCAGAAGTTTAGGTATCACAGTTGGGGGATTTTGATACTGCCTTGTCTATAAGTTAGTTAAAAATCCTGTACTGAGGTTTACTCTGCAGAGTTGGAGCTATTTCTGATCCTGTGAGAAAAGCCAGTGGCTTTCAGGTTGTTTACCAGGTCCCCGGTGAACTCAGAGCCTTTTCTTCTCTCAAAGACAAGCTGCCATCAGTAATTCTTTTCCCCTCTCCTCTCCCTGTTTGCTTCTCCTGCTCCCTTCTGAGACTTAGGTGGGAAAGGCATGAAAAAATGAATGAATAAAGGATGAACCCTATTGTCACTTCTCTGCTTGTATATTTTGTTTTCCTCAGTTAGTGAAACAAACTCATCCCAATTCTTAGTAGTCCTTCCCAACTCTAATAAAGGAATATCTGCTTTTCTCTCGTGGTGTAGAGAGGCAACCATTTAAAGGGATTCTGAATCTTTTTCTCTTGAGCTTCTCCAACTACCATTCCTCACAGTTAGCCTCCTTCCTTCCAAATTGAAAAGTATCAGTGAGCTTCTTCCGTCATTGTTTCTTCAGATTTTTGTCCACTGTACTGCTTCTGGAGGAGTTCAGCATAACCTACAGTCAGTTTCCAGAATCTTCTCTCCGTAGATGAAATTTCAAAACCCTTACAGTATGGTGTTACTCCGTCCTTAGTTTGAAAGCTTCTTTTTCTCCTCTTTGGCTATTCTTACTTAATTCATACATTTTGTTAGATTTGGAAGCAGGGAAATTTCTTGATCCTGTATTTTCTTTCATAGAGAATCTGTGAAATTGGAAGAGTTTATTGATAGCACTGCTTCTATTGCTATGTATTTTTAGCAGTATCTAGAAGTACATGTATAAGAGAACTGCGGCAATTACAAAGATTATTTGGACCAAAATTACCTCAAAATCTACTTGAAACACCCATGTAATTGCAGGAAAAATATATATTTTTAAATTTGAAAGTATTCTGATAATAATAGCTGCAGTTCTCTCCTCCGCTTGCATGTGCAGACACAAACTGAAGATTCTGAAATGGCACCCATTGTGCTGAGTTGAGATTGGCTTTGTGTTATTCTGACCAGTTACAGTTTGTCTTCTATTATTATTAGCACATGTCCCATACTTCTGGTTTTACCAACCCATACAATAGCAGAATGCTTATTTTACTGAGAATAAAACCTTAAAGGTGACTGTGGGAATGATAAGTTCATTTTGCCACATTGAAGGCGGACTTTATAGGAAAATATTGACTTCCTATTATGTAGATGACTAAAATGCTGCAGAGAGCACCCTGCACCTCAGGTGACAGCACTGACGAGCCAGCAGGCTTACTGAAGAGTCTTGTCTTCTCTTCCGGTAAGCTGGGTTTGAAGCGAGTTCGGGCTCTGCTATGAGGATGTATCATTTCAACTGTAAAGACTGGTGTGGATCGTGTGGACTGGATGTCCCTCAAGACCCACCGAAGGGCACTTCTAGACTCCTAGGACTCCAGACACTGGAGGCACTCCCGACACCATCATTTTCCCAGTCTCACTTGCTGCCAGAATTCGGATATGATTTACGTCAGATCCAGTTGCTTGGGACTTTGATTTAAAACTGAATTATAACACTAATGAGATGTCCCATTTTCTCCATGCATACTATTAAGCATTTTAAAAAAGTTTTTAACAACTCTGAGTCAGGAAGCACGTAAGTTATATGAGGGGAGAAATGGGCTGTGGGCATCCTCTTCCTAGCGCAAACTGAGGCAGAGGCAGTGTGGCCTGGAGCAGGGGACCCTGGTGGAAGATTCCAGATTCTGCAACTTCCTGACTGTGGCAGGAGCGGCAGTGTTCTTGGCAACCTGGTTCTGGTGAGGTTTCCGGAGCTGCTTCTGGAACAAGAAACTTAGAGCCGGCATCTTTGCCGCTCACTCCTGAAGACTACCCTTTAATAAGTCTTTTTCTGTGTGAAGTAACTAGAATAGATTCTGAGGCCTGAAACTAAGATCTCTGAGCAACAGCAGGACCATGGGAGAAAGACTGTTAGGTCAGAACTTGGCTACCACGTGTTGGTTCTCTTGAGTCTCAGAGACGGAAAACACAGGCCTCTATGAGGGATTGCCCCTCCCCAAACTGCGTTCAGGGGGCCCATTTTAACTGCAGGAGCGAGGAAAATGGTCCTATGGAGATCTAGGGCATTATTCTCAGAGATGTGTCCTGTTGGAAGGACTGCTGGCATCTGGAAGCATGAAGGAGCATGCAGAGTCCAGGAACTCCCAATACATCTTCCTTCTCCAAGGCTGCTCACTTCCCAGCAAGAGTGCTACATCAGTTAGGATGGCTTGGCTACAAGTGATAGAAAACTCTCTCACAAAATAAGAAGCCAAAGATAGGGCATCTCTATGATAAGTTAATTCAGATGTTCAATTACGTTATTGTGGCACAGGTTCTCTCCGCCGTTCTGCTCTGTCAAAACAAGATGGTTTTGACTTGGAGGTTAGCTCCCAGAAGGGTTGTTACATGTTTGTCCCTAGCTTTGGTTTCATTCAGATACACTGACATATGTTTGAAGAAAGGTTTGCATTTTTTAATTGACATAGAATAGTCGTACATACTTTGGGGTTACATGTGCTATTCTGATACCTGTATATGGTGTACAGTGGTCAAATCAGGGTAATTAGGATATCCATCACCTCGAATATGTATCTTTTCCCTGTGTTGGAAACATTGCAAAGCTTCTTCTCTAGCCATTGTGATGTCTACAATAAATTATTAACTATCGTTTTCCTCCCAACTATAGAATACTAGAACTAACCCCTTCTAACTGTATTTTTGTACCAAAATGTGCATTTTTCTGTGTGATTTTTTTTTTTTTTTTTAATGAATGTTGGAACTTTGTGTGGATGCTCTTAGCAGCCACTTCCTCCCGCCTTACTGGTTTGGTGCTTCTGCCTAACCCATTCTCTAGCCAGGGAAATGGGAGCTCAAGAGTTGAATTCAGTCAGTCAGAATTTACCCTGGATTGTGAGATGGATTCGCTTCTCCCTGAGAGTAAACCCAAGTAGAAAAAATTTGCTGTGACAGCAAAGAAGAATTGGAGGATGGATGTTAGGCAACCAACAGGGTTACTTCCCAGGGTGGAATCCATGTGGTTTCATTTTGTATTTTAAGCTTAATATCTTTTCCCTTTTTTTAGTGAAAAAGTAACATGCTCATAAATAGAAATTAACTAACCAGTACAAAAAGGTTTATATAAAAAAAGACTCTCTACCTATCTTTGTCATACAAAAATGATGAAATATCATTAAGAGAAAAATTTTAAATTCCAAGCAAATGAAAACTTTAAGAAAATGAAGGAAAATAACATATTTATGGATGAAAGTACTGACATTGAAAAGATTCTACCCAAATTGATTATAGATTCAATAAAATCCGAGTCAAGACCCAGCAAAGTTTTTCTAAGATGTCAACAATTTGTTTCTAGTATTCGTGTGAAAATGCAAAGGGCACAATATACAAGATAACCTTAAGAAGAAAAAACCTGGAGACTATACATACAGGACATGGTGACTTATAAAGTTCTAGTCATAAAGACAGTATAGAGTTGGTACTAGGAAATATAAAAAACATATCCATTCATATCCAATAACTCAAGTAATGACAGTTTCTGTATAGAGGGGGGAAGAATGGTTTTTTAAAATAAATGGTACTGATTAAATTGGAAATCTATATAGAAAGTATAGGTAGTATTTTTCTCCATTTGCTTAGAGCTTTTAAATTTTATTTTAACCATATTTTATATTTTTTATATATACTTTTCCCCAGATTAATAAAGTTCCCTTCTATTTCTAATTTGCTAAGACATTGTATCACAAATAGATTTTGAGATCCTTTTGTAGTTCATAAATGTTATGATTTTTTTTTCACTCATAAGTGAGATGTACCTTCCTTAAAGGTTGTTATACCATCAACACAATACACATCTGACAGGAAAAAGAAATAGATTTTGACTCTCATTAAATACTTTTTTGCATCTATGGACATAATCATGTGATTTTTCTACTTCACTTTGTTAATGTGTCTAATTACATTGATTCATTCTCAAATTCTAACAGTCACATTCCTGGAATAAAAGTCACTTAGTCATGATGTAGTAACCATTTTATATATCACTGGATTTAATTTACTGTTTTTACAAAAATTCTTATATATATTTCATGAGAGAGCTTGGCAAGTAATTTCCTTTTGAGTAATGTTCTTTTCAGAATTTAATATCAAAGTTTTGCTGGCATCATAAAATATGTTGGGAAGTGTTTCTTCTTTTTGTTTTATCTTGAAGAATTTTAAGAAGAATCCACTAGTGATAGTCATCTGGTCTGAGGAAAGTTTTTGTGGAAAAGTGTTAATTTATAGGTTCAGTTACTTTACTACATATAGAACTACTTATGTTTTGTATTTCTGTTCATCAATTTTGGCAAGGTCTATTTTTATAGGAACTTTCTCATTTTCCCTACATTTCCAAATTTATTGGCATAAAACAGTTCCTCATATCCTCTTTGTTTTGAGACAGGGTCTGGCTCTGTTGCCCAAGCTGGAGTGCAGTGGTGTGACTTCAGCTCACTGTAACCTCTACCTCCTAGGCTCAAGCAATCCTCCCACCTTAGCCTCCTGAGTAGCTAGGACCACAGGCACACACCACTACATCCAGCTAATTTTTTTGGTTTTTATTTTTATTTTTGTATTTTTAGTAGAGACAAGGTTTCACCACATGTGCCCAGGCTGGTCTCCTGAGCTCAAGCAATACTCACACCTTAGCCTCCCAAACTGCTGGGATTACAGGCATGAGCCACTGCACCCAGCCCCACTCTTATTTTGTAATATCTCTATTGTCTAGGGTGATGTAAACCTTTTCATTCTGGCATTGATAATTTCTGGCTGGTCTCTCTCTCTCTCTCTTTTTTTTTTTATCTGTCCTTGAAAATGCCCATGAATTTTACTAATCTTTTCAAATGATAAAGCTTTTAGCTTTTTATTTTTCTCTATTTCACACTCATTTCTATTCATCAATTTCTTCTCATTTTTTATATTGACTTTCATCTACTTCACTGTTTAATTTGCTGTTCTTTTTCTAACTTCTTAATAATACTTAGCTAATTGCCATTTCAACTTTTCTTCTTTCTAAAATATGCATTTATTGCATAAATCCCCCCTAATGCAACTTTAGCTACATCCAATGAGTTTTAATATATTGAATATTCATTATTATTCAAGCAAAAATATTTTCTAATTCTTATTGTAATTTCTCACTTAACCTATACACTATCATTATTATTGTATAATTTCCAAACAGCATTTTCTCATTTTTTTAAGTTTAATTCTACTATGATCATAAAACATACTATGTATGATTTCGATCCTTTGAGATTTTCTGAAATTTGCTTTATGGTCCAACAAAATATCAGTGTTAGTCAATGGGCCACATGCACTTAGGAGAAATGTGTGTTCAATTGTTAATTGTGTTGTTCAAATCTACATACATATTTCTCTTTTTTTTCCCACATATTTCCTACCCCCCCGTCCCAACGTGTTCTATTAGTTATTCAGAGAAGTGTCTGATCAACTTGCATTTTGGCAATAGATTCGTCTCTTTCCTTTTTTTGTTTCTGTCAATTTGCTTTATATATTTTAAAGCCATATTAAGTGCATATATTTTTTAAGTTAATGTATTTTGTTGGTGGATTGGCCATTTTAGGTAGTAAGAAACACCCCTCTGACTCTCTAGTGATGCTTCTTGCCTTAGATTCTACTTTGTATATTGATGTAATTATACTGGTTTTGGGGGGTTAATGTTTGCATTTTGTATTAAGCCAGTGTCCCTGAGAAGCAGACTTTGAGTACAGAAGGTGAGAAGTGAACCTAAGAATACTGGTAAGGTGGCAGGAGTAGACACAGAAGGGAAGCAGGAGTGAGGTGGCAGACCCGGGAGAAGGAAGCTGACACTGCATATACTAGTGAGCTGTTGGCTGTGGACAGCTAGGACTCACTTCTCCAGGAAGTCTCCTCTAGGCTTCTCCGTGGCTTTGCTGGGAGACTGCATGGAAACACCTAGGAATTTCTCCACCTGAAGATGAGCAAGCTGGAGTGTTTACCACCAGCTCACATCCTCATTAGACAAGGGCTGCTCCTGAAGGCATCAGCTTCTCAGAATTTCTGCTCTGTCCCATTTCCCACCAGCCTGCATTCCCCACCAGCCTGTGTTCCCCACCAGCCTGCTTCCAGAGTTAAAGAATGCCTTCAGGCAAGACCCAGTGCTACATGCCACTGAAAGACATCTGGAAAGTCATGGCAAATGCCAAGGAAGAAAGCAGGGTATTCACAGTATCTTCTACTCATGGAATCTATTTCCCCATTCTTTTGCTTTCAACCTTTTTTGTGTCCTTATATTTAAAATATGTCTCCCATAAGCAGTCTATAACTGTTTCATCCCACCAAGGGTAACCATCTTTGCCTTTAAATTTAGACAGTTCATATACATGTAATGTAATTACTAATGAATTTGATTTTATGATTATGTTCCATTTGCTATTTGTTTTATGTTCATTTTAAAAATTTTCTTGCCTTTGGATAATTCAATTTTAAAATTACATTATTCTCCTCTTCTGCTATTAAAATATATTTTTGCTAGTGTTTTGGTTTTTACCCTAGAGATTCTACACTAAATACAGCCAAATACAAATTATACTTTTACCATCTCCTCCTGGATAATCATGGACCTCAGAACTGAGATCTGGAGTATTTACTAGGTAGGCAAATGGACATCTTTTGTGGGTCCTGGACTCCATTTTTTAATTTTCTAAGGACTGTGAGGCAGTTTTCCAAAAACCCTCTGCTCTGCTTCTCAGTGGCTTGCCACTTAGCTTCTTCATCTGTTGCCCTCTGCAGCTAAACATTTGCCAATGCATTCAGAGGGAAACCATTTGTTGTTGGGCTATTTCCCCACATCTCTTCTCTCACCAGGATCTTAAAACCACTCAAATCCCTGGCAGCACCCCCAACTCCAACTTTTTAAAAAAATTATTATTATTATTATTATTATTATTGAGACAGGATCTCACTCTGTCACCCAGGCTGAAATGCAGTGGTGGGATCTCAGCTCACTGCAACTTCTGCCTTCCGGGTTCAAGTAATTCTCATGCCTTAGCCTCCTAAGTAGTTGGGCTACTCAGCCACCATGCATGGCCACCATGCCCAGCTAATTTTTGTGTTTTCAGTAGAGATGGGGTTTCCCATGTTGGCCAGGTTGGACCTGAACTTCTGATCTCAGATAATCTGCCCACTTTGGCCTTCCAGAGTGCTGGGATTACAGGCATGAGCCACTGCACCTGGCCCCCAGCTCCAACTTTTGTTTCCTCAGTTCTGTGAGAGCCCCCAAAGCTCTGCAGGCTTCTCTGTTCCTTAACAGCTAGCAAGAGAATGAAAGTCCACCTTGACTTTCACTTTCTTGCCAGCACCAAGAATCAGCAAGTGCCCCAGAAGGGAAAGCAAATTCCAGGGTGTCTGCCTACTTGGGCTGTCCCGTTTCCCCTGGTTGCCTTAGCAGCTATTCAGATGCCTTCAACAATGTTTTATGTATATTATCTAGCTTTTCTGGTTGTTTTGACAGAAGGAACAATCTGTTACAAGTTATTCTAGCATAGCCAGGAGTGAAAATTCTTCTAGAATGTATTTACTCTGTCATTTTTTTGATGGACATTTAATTTTTTCCCTAGTCTCTACCTATTCTAAAAATTGTAGCAAGAAGTAAGTCTGGACATCCGTCTTTGCTGATTGTGTGTATGTGGCTGTTGAATTCCTAGGAAAAGAATTTCTTGGTCAAAGAAAGGATGCATTTGAAATGTTGATAGCTCTTACCAAATTTTCCTCCCAAGAGATATATCAATAATGTGTGAGGGAGTGTGTTTCCCCAAAGAGTGTGTGTGGTTTTATAGAAGAGGTACAGGAGTTTCTTCAGAGGTACCTGAAGACAGGAAGATGAATGTGTCTGCTTAAATTCTTGGTCCCCCCATATGGCCTCAGTACGAGATGGAAGGGATCCCCTTCCCAAAGTGAAAAATCCATGTCTATGCTCAAAGTATCTTTGCTCCATAATAGCACTAGAACCCAAGGGAAGTAAAAACGAACTGAGCCCCAAAGACGAACAAGTTTTAACAAATGTACCCACAGTAAGGATGGAGAATTACTACTGTTTCTATTAAACTGATAGGGGTTATGGGAAGCCTCTTTTTACAGACCTTTAAAATGCTGATGAGCTCACCAGAAGTTCTTTTCAAAATACCCATGATTATAATTGTTTCAGTGTTAGTTCAAGGCAGTTATTTTCATTTTCAAACAACTTTGAAGTTCAAATTTTGAAAGAAAAAATGTCCCCTTACATTTCTAATGGTTTTGCACTATTGGGAAGTAATGACTTAGGTTTTTATAAATGTATTTGGGCATCTCAAGGATGGGTCAATTTGTTAGCTTCCCAGGAATGCCAAAGCATAATAGTGATAACTTTTTGTTTTATTGCCCTTTTTCTTATTTGATAAATTAAGGTAGTACCTGATTTTGCATTTGGAAGCATTTATTTCATTGTTCAAAGACTCCTTTTCAATTCAAATTCTTTTTTATTGAAATTCTTTTTTTCCCCCTCTCTCATTGGGTCCTGGGGAGATAATTTAAAACCACCTACATGAGATGGCCTTCAGGAATAATTAAATCAAGCACATACCGTATGCACCTTCAGCATCCTCTCTAACTGGGAAACACAGAGCAGCCTACTCATGAGAACATTATTCTTTAAACTTCAATGCTATAGCAATACTATCTGGTAAGATAATTGTCTCCAAAGGGATGAAATAAGGCCAAGAAACTGCAGCTCTCCAGCCTCTGTTAAGTTTGCTTCTGATGCCTGCCTCTTAGCCTTGCTTCTTCCAGCAGGCCCCAGCTG